CATAGAATGTTCTAATTTTTATTCAAATAAGACTAAAAGAACGACGTTGGCGACTGGGACAACGTTTTACAACTTACTCTAGTTAAATAGTTGTGAGGATTATACATTCTAAAAAATCAAAATAATTTAAACACCATTTTGAGCCATTTTTAGTAAAAAATATTTTAAAACAATTATTTGCTCAACTTATATAAATAAAAAGCTGAAAGGAGATAAAACACGACATTTTATTAATATAAAATACTTGAATTTATTAATTAATTAATAAATAAAAAATTGATGTTATTGTATTTTTAAAAATCTTGTTACCTTATAATTAAATTTAATTATAAATTAATATTTGGTTAAATACCTTTTTAGTATTTTATTACATTTGAAACAAAATCGAAATAAGAAAGATTTTATTCTAATTTTGAAAATGTATTTTTACAATTTTTAATCCATTCTAATCAAATTTTAATCTATATTGATCATTATTATTGTAATCTTAATTTTTAAATCAAAAATCAAAACTTGTTTATATTGAAAATATATTCAATATTTTTGTTTATTCTTTTCCTCGTTTTTTTGATTGCCTGTTCTTCAGGAACTGTTCAAAAAGGGATATTTTGTGTACAATGTACCAAAGGGTTTTATTGCCCAAATGGTAAAGACATGAATCCGTGTGTGTCTGGATCCTACTCTTCTGCGGGTTCTTCTACATGTACTCTTTGTGTAGCTGGAACATATTCATCTGTAGAAAGTTCATCTGAATGCACAAACTGTGAAGCTGGGACGTATTCATCACAAGGAGCCGAATTGTGTACTATATGCCCACCCGACACTTATTCGTTGACAGGGTCTTCCGGATGTGTGTCGTGTACAAATGACACGTGTATATCTTGTGATTCCAAAAGTGGATTGTGTACAAAATGCGCACAGGGAAGTGGCTTAATTTCAAATGGGAAATGTGAAAAATGTCAAGCGGGGTATTTTTCTATTGGTGGTTTAGTTTCATGCGTAAAATGTGGTGATAAAGAATACTCGAGTTTAGGGTCTACAAAGTGTTTAAGTTGCAACCCATTATGTAATACATGCAATACCACAAATGGTGAATGTCTGAGTTGTTATCCTGGATCACGTGTTATTAACGGAAATTGTGTTGGTTGTCCAGCAGGGCAGGCATTAAACTCAAACGAATGTATTGTTTGTGAAACCAACTCTTATTCTATAGGAAATGCAACTCAATGTACTCTGTGTTCAATGTGCAAAGATTGTGATAAGACCAATGGACATTGTATTCAATGTGAAGTCGGTTATGAACTTGTATCAAATCAATGTTATATGTGTTCATTGGGAAGTTATGGAAACAATTCACAATGTATTAAATGTCCATTAGGAACGTATTCTGATACAATTGGAGCAATAACGTGTTTAAGCTGTCGAGATAATAATTATACTCCAAAAATAGGTTTAATGGAGTGTATATCATGTGACTCCACTTGTATATCATGTAACAAAGAAAATGGATTTTGTTCTTCGTGCATTGATGGCGCTATTTTGATCAACAACTCATGTTCTGTTTGTTATGAAGGCACAAAAGCAAATAAAACAACACAAAAATGTGATATTTGTTCTGCGGGAACATATTCCAAAAACCAATCGAGAACCTGTATTTCGTGTCCGAGTCAGTATTATTCTTTTGAAAATTCATCAATGTGTAAACAGTGTGAAAGTACGTGTGAGACTTGTGATAAGACAAATGGCCAATGCTTGACGTGTTTAAGTGGGTATGGTCTTACTTCTTCCAGTAGTTGTATTATATGTAATCCTGGCACCAAGTCATTGGATTCCAAGTGTGTAAATTGTGATGCAATGACTTATCAAAATCTCGTTGGACAAATTAATTGTATATCGTGTGACACTTTGTGTGCTTCTTGTGATCAAACAAATGGGCAATGTTTAACATGTTATGCTGGTTATCGGTTAAATTCGAATGGAACATGTGAAATGTGTGGAGATAAAGAATATTCATTGGGTGGTACTTCATCGTGTTTGTCATGTCCAATTGTATGTACAAATTGTTTTAAAGAAAGTGGGATATGTACAACGTGTCAATCTGGTTATAAACAAATTGAAGACAAAACAAATAAAATTTGTATTTCTTGTTCTTCAAATGGAAACTGTTCTTCATGTGATCAAAATGAAAATGAATCATTAAGAAATTGTGTTGAATGTACAACTGGATATTATCTAGATAACAACAATTGTAATATTTGTTCGTCATTACATTACCAATGTCTAAAATGCTCAACAAAAAAGAAAGAGTGTCTCTCTTGTTCTGGGGAATAGTTTCAAATGACAGTACTTGTCTTCGATGCGAAGAAGGAACCGTGAAAAGTGGTGATAAAACATGTTCCAAGTGTTATGAATTGCTTGATAATTGTCAATCTTGTAATTATAACAATGGTACACCAAAATGTATAAAGTGTTTTACTTCTTATTATATTGAAAATGGTAAGTGTGTATTAGCATATTCAAAAACGGAACACTATAATTATAACACCTGTTTAAAAGAAGTTAATTCAATAACTGGATGTCTTCTTCAAGTTAATAACTCGTGCTTTTCGTGTGGAGATAAGTACATTTTGAATGAACAAAAATGTGTTCAAAAAGATGAAACAATGTGTCAAAAATACTCTCAAACAATTTGTGAAAAATGTGTAATGGACGTCATCACAACAAATGAAAATTGTTCAATTAATTCAGAGTGTAAATACCAACTTACAACAAATAGTAATATCACTTGTTTATCACATACAAAAGAGTCGGAAAACAATAAATATAAATTTGCAAATTGCCACTATTTACTGAATGATTATTGTTATTTGGCCAATGAGTATCATTACACATCTATTGAAAATGGACGAACAAATCAATGTGATAATGGTAATATATGTCGATTGATTGAAGGTACTGAAATGGACTTTTTTGTTCAAATAAAGATATTTTAGTTTCAAATTTAAAGCGTTCAATAGACTTAAATTGTTTAACAGTGAATGGAAGTATTTGTGTTCAATGCAATTCTAATAATCATATTGAAAGTGGAGTTTGTGTATCAAACAATAAAAATTGTTTAATTCAAAACAAAAACATTTGTACTTTTTGTGAAAACTCTATAACCAATGTTGGGCAGTGCATTATGATCGATTCGATAAATTGCAAATATTTTGAAGGAAGTGTATGTAAAACGTGTGAAGATGGTAATTACAAAGACGTAAAAGGTTGTTTACCAAAAGATGAAAAGTATTCAAAATGTAAATAAGTGAATTACTATACAGAAAGATGTTTGGATTGTGACAACTCCATGTTATTAGTAAATAATTCATGTCAACAACAAAATGACCAAAAACATCTCAAAGTGGTTTAAATGTAATAAAATTCGAATCACAAACAACAGATGGTTGTATTGAATATAGCTCAAAAGGCTGTTTGCGATGTAATGGTGGTTTTTATTTAATGAATTCTGTTTGTGTACAATGTGAATATCCATGCACTCAATGCTCTAATATAACGTATTGCACAAAATGTGATGCATATTCATACACTAAAAATGGCTTATGTTTCCAAATAAATGAAATTTTAAGTGTATGTGGTGTGATGATGTCGACATACGATGGGTGTGTTGCATGTAAAGATGGGTATATGCGATCTTCGGATGGCAAGCAATGTGTGAAGTGTGATGTTTCTTGTCAAACATGTTCAAACGATGGTAATTGTATTCTTTGCAGTGAAGACTATTTCAGAACACCAAATAACAACACAAAGTTGTGTAATTCATACAACCAACTTTTTAACTGTTTAAATAAAACAACGAGTGGGTGCATCACTTGTGAATTTGGATTTGCTTTAATTAATAATTTGTGTTACAAATGTGACGAAAATTGTACTATTTGTGATTCCACTTTGGAGTGCACAGAATGTGCAGAAAACAACATTTTATATGATAAAAAATGTGTACATTATACAACTATATCCCACTGTATATCAGCAAACAACTCGAAATGTGTGTCCTGTGAAAATGGATTTAAATTAAATAATGATGGAATTCTATGTGGTAAAAGTGTGAATTATGCTTTAATTGTTGGACTCTCAGTTGCTTGTGTAGTTTGTATATTATTTATAATTGTTACTATAATTATAACATTTATTATTATTTACACCAAAAGACAAGAAAATAAAAAACAAAAGACGGTCTGTGTTTTTAAGGGTTTCTTGAGGATAAGGTGTATCCTCAGGATTAAAACTATCCTTATTAAAAAATATTTTTCTGAGGATACAAAAATCAAATTATTAAGGTTCAGTTCCCCATAAGGCCCACTCTCATAACTCAAGTTATAATTTACACTTAGTATTTCGAGTCAAAGTTCGAATTTTAAATAATGGTAATAATTTGTCATAAATGCCAAAAAATTAAAAACAATCAAAAAAATCGCCACAATAATCAGTAAACATAAACAATAATTATATCTCGCGAACTTGAGACGGGAAATAACAAAGTGTAAATTATAATTGTTCATATTATGATTATATATTTATTGAAATTATTTCCGAATCCGTCTTTATAACATAATAATTAAAATTTACGTTTAAATTGATAATTGTTTTTTATCAAAATGAAAAATTGAAAAAGTCGAAAACACTGATTTTCTAAAATTACAATTTTAAAAATAACAAATTTATAAATATTTTTGTAATTTATGCAATTATTCAAATTTATTATTATAACAAAGTTAATCATGTTGTGTATATTTTAAAAAGAATGTTTCATTTTGATATTAATTTGTGTTTTAAACAGATTTACAGTTCTAAGGATGGCAATTATTTTCTGAGGATGACAGAAATAGAAAGTATACACTTTTACATCTGTCTGAAATGTGTATTGAGTAAGTTACTATTTTTGAATATGGGAACACGTCATTTCACTTCTTAGATGTTTAAGTCTGTGTTGATAATGTCTGTTTGTTACACGACTTACCATCCTCAGAGATATTTATAGCACTGCCATTATTGATTTAAAATTATATAAATAAAATTATATTTTTAAAGACAATTTATTATAAAGTGAATTTTGTTAATTGATTATAACAATTAATCGTCAAAACATAACAAAAAACACCAAATAATATATAAAATAAATTATTAAATTGAAGATACATTTATTGAAAGTAATATTGTATTATATGAAATATTAATATAAACATATATTTTTTGTGTGTGTATGTTTTTAAAAATAAATAAAACCGTTAAAAACAGAAATGATTTTATTTTAAAAATTTGTTTATTTATCAATCGTTGTTTTATCGATATCCAAAACCTCTCGTTTTGAATTTGCGCAAATACATAAATTGTCATCGCATAGAGTATATATTATTAATATGTTATTTGCTATCAATTTTTATTGTTTAATATTTCATAAATTGATTTTTAATAAATTGTATTTTTGTAAAAAAGATTAAAAATTGTTAGATTAATTTGTTTTGTGATTTTGATTAAAAATCGACTTTTTCGATAAATTAAATGTCTGTCAAATGATTTCATTTAAACCAAGGTTGGTCAAGTGGTAAATCAAAAAACAGAAATAGATCATTTTTTTGTCAAAATCAACACCAAGAATCATCTTTCAAAAAATCTATAAATAGCATTTTTAAAGAAAATCACGTGTTTCAAAATATACCTTTTTGATCTTAGGCAAAAAAATCTAAATTGAAAGAAATTATGTTTAAGATATTTACCATCCTCAGAAAAATTAACAATCCTCATGAATCCCTTTAAAATGAGTCGGTCGTATATTTTAATGGAGAAACTCGATGGTCATATTCTTTCAAATAAAAAAGAAATTTTATTTGGTGGTGAGAATGAAGAAATTCAAATTGACAAAGAAAGTCGTGAATTACTGTGTGTTGGAAACTCGTCTAAAAGTAATGTAAAAATGCAAATCACAACAAAAAATCAATGCGACAAATACACAATACACACAGAACCAAAAATAGTAAATTTGATGAGTGGATACGCCTGTGAATTTGAAATCTTTTTGACACCACTATGTACAATGAATTTGAACGACGAAGTTGTTATAATTTTTCTTGATTTGAATAATAGTATCGAGCAAACAACACACGTAAAAATATCAGCACAAGTTGAAAAATCAACAAAACTTGATTATGACGAAATCAAAGAAGACAAGAAACTTGGCGAAGGCTCTTTTGGTATTGTGTTTAAAGGAAGTTACAGAGGAAATGTCGTTGCAATAAAGAAAATGAAACAGTCGAATGACACGGACAAACTAATAAAAGAATTTGAAGGTGAGGTGTGTATGATCATAGTGTGGCCTTTTAAACTTTTTATTTATATAAGACTGAAAACTATTTATATAAGGCATTTTGTGCTTAAAAAGTTTGTAATATCAAAACAACGTCCACAATTTTGGGAAATTAATTGTTGTTTAAATTATTATTTGTTTTCAGATTATTTATGTTTTCATTTAAATTTATTATTAAATTTTTAACACGTTTTTTACTAAAAAATAAACTTAAATTTATTAGATTATAATCATAAACATTTAACATTAATTATAATTATATATTTTTTTAAAAAAAATTGAGATAAATAATTTAAATTTCACATTTATATTTTTAAATAATTATAAATATAATCAAATTTTGCTATATACAAACTTTTTAATTGAAATCTATATATTTTATATATTGTTAATACTTTATAAATATAAAATTACAAATATAAAAATTAAAAAATAAGAATAATTAACAATTAATTTTGTAAATTGTCTTTTTGCTTTTTATTGAATAATTCAATCTTTATGCTGTAAATTTTAATGGACTGTTTAAATGATTAATTTGGTTTATTCGATTGAATGTTCTTTCCACATCACTTGTTGAAGGAAATATAGTTAGAAGGACGTCAACTATTTTAATAAGTTGTGAAAATTGATTGTTTTTTAATATTTGAAAGACGTCCAACAAACGCACTTTTGTTATATAATTAGTCTTTTCGATCAATATTTGGTCATATTCTGATTGTAGTTGATTATTAATACTGTTATTAATAATTCTTATTTTGTCTTCAACGTTCAAAAGTGATAACAAGTTTTTTAAAATTAACAATTCATCATTTAGAAATAAATAATTGTTGTAACAATTTATATCTGGGTTAATTCCTTTTAATAACGAATCCGAAATATAATATATGTATAATAGATGATTCAAATTGTTATGTGTTTCATTATTTTTATAAACATCTTCGTTTATGTATCCAGTAGAATAATCAACCATATTATTTATTGAATTCATATTGACTGACATGTTTGCGTATTTAAATCTAAGTTCTGTGTTAATTATCAAACGCAATAACAGTCTTTCAGTAAAACCGATATCAACAATTAGAATATCTTTAATGTCTTTGAATTCTTTAAAATCTCCCATTCTAAGTTGATGTAAACATGTAGAAAGGTATTTTCTAAACATTGTCGTTCTTTTATAATATTCAGGGAGAGATCCTTCGCTGTTTTGAAAAGTCGAACATAAGACAAACATCATTTTATATAAATGACACAAAACTCTCAATTTATTTTTTGTTTTTAAAGAATTATCACCAAAATAAAAAGGAAAAGTGCACTCAGTTGAATTACTTGTTATTGTTTTGCTATATGTACCAACTTTTTTTGTTTTTAAATTCACTCTCAAGTTCTGTTTTAACTCTGGGTATTGAAACATATGACACAATTTCTTCATAATGTTCCAATACATTATTAATGTTTCTACAAATATACAAAAAACGTGTTT